AGACAACTCGGGTGACGGAATTGGGTCAGGTTCATTCAAAGGAATTATTTTGTAGAGTTTTTGCGGAGCTCGGCGCGGCCAAATCGCGAAGTAGGGTACCGTGTAAACCGATGTGAATTTCAACTGCATTCCCGTATGGCCAACCCGTGATTTTTTTTTTACAGCGTGATCTCGTGTCCAGTGGCATAAAAGCAAAATGAAAATAACAAAAAGGCAAAACGTTTTTGATATCAGTAGGAAATAAACCTATATCACGGTTATCGCTTTAAAGACGAAATTTTACTTAGGTTGCTTTCGAACGATATCTGAGCTTGTATTCAGAAAGTTTACCTTACAACTTTGAAGGAATGATTGGACACCGAAGTTGAAATGAGCCGTCTTTTATGTTTAAAAATGTTAACTGAGGGTCGCATATCCAACAATCTCATAACATATGTAGTCAGTAAAAGGATTTTTTGTTAACATTTTTCACCAGTAAAACAGAAAGATTATCATGAGCTTCACAGCTTTTGTATGACGTTAGACAAAGACCTCTAGTCCGCCTGTCAGTGCACGGCCATGTGAAATTGAGAAGCAAACAATTATGACTTTCACATCTACTCTACTCATTTTGAGCCTTATTTCGGTTTTAACATCTGTTTAAAAACGCTTTTCACAGTTCAAAGGAATAGATACATATAAAAAACAACACTCTTTGCAAAGATGTCTAGGATATTCAGTGAATCATGGTACCAGCCACTGATCAATGGTACCTGCTAGGCAAACAACTTCCGACAAAGTTTCAACAATGACACACTTTTATTTCACATACATAGTTGATTTCACGAAAAAAGTCACCCAAAGAGATCAATTCACGCATCTTGTCGGTCCAAATTCGTGAATTAACATGTGCGCTGTACGCTATTTAAGCGGAGTTTTTGGATCGAGATTTCAAGAGGTTATTAATTGAACTTCAAGTACCCCGAGGCAACGAGAAAGATAATTTTGTCAGCTGTTTCGTGATATTCTAGCTTATCCTTAAAACTGAATCCTATTAGCTACACAATGTTACGTGCGTTAATGAAATTAGACTTCGGATCAAAATCCCCTCTGTTTGAAAAGGACAACTGAAGCAGAAACAAGGAGGAGGAGTAACTAGTCCCAGCGTTAAATAACAGCACACGAACATTAGCTTGGCAAGAACAAATAACACACTAGAGTAAATTAAAATCACGAAATTTTGACACTTGAAACGAAAATTAACATCGATCGTACTCTACTCACCTCCAAGGAAAATATTTTTATAGAGGATTCCAGCAATTATCAAAATAGGTCGGAGTCGAATATTTAATGAAGAAAAAAGTCTGATCTTAACCTTTGCCACCTTAAGCGCAAGCTCGCATGCGCGATGCTAGCTGCCGAAGCTCCACCGTCATGTTACCTGACTTAGCCTAAGATTCCGCAGTGGGTCTTTTACACCCCGGAAACAGTCAGAACAGCGTAAAAACTGAGACCAACAGACTGTTACGGGTTTCGATAAAATAATATCTTCACCGTTCGCGGTAATATTTATCTCTCCCTTTTCGAAAGAGGAACTATTGGTTGTCATAAAAATTTAGACATCAAGGTAATTTTGACAACAGTAGAACACAAAAATCGCCGAGATTTCGAGGGAAGTAAGCAAGCCAGCGTATTATCTCCGGAATTGGCGAATTTCATGAATTATTTCGCTGTAACTAGCGAATCTGGATTTCCGTAGCTATAAATCGCGAAAAATGTGCATGAATCAATGCTTAAAAAATGTTGTAACACCCTGCTTATGACAAATTGTCGTTCTTTGTCTTAGAAGTGGTAGGATTTTGAGGTCGCCGTACGTCTACTCCAGATCTACTATGCCTCTTATTAGAAGAACAGGGGTGAAATCAATTTTTTGAACGGCTCCAGCGCCGTAGCGATTTTCCCCTAGAAATTCGCATTGCCCCGCTATGAGACCCCACAGCACAAAGGCTGTACTTCCCGATCAAGAATCCACCCAAATGGACCGGAGCTAGCCTTCGATGAAATTAAAATCCCACAGTTTATGAACGGCCAAAATGCGTTCCAAGACTTACGCGAGCCAGCCACAAACTGACCTGCTGATTTTTCCCGGCTCGTAATTACAAAAGATGCATCTATAACTAAATGCGATGACCTTTTACCTGATTTAACTCTTCGTCCTGCAGTTCTGGCATGATTTTCTATTTAGTTAACTCTAGACCTCGCCTTGAGGTCACTCACCTTGCTATTGCGATACCCCATGCAATAATAAGGACAGCAGCTTAATCGCTGGCAAAAATAAATTTAGTCTTACATTTACCTGAAAAATTTACGTACTCTTTCTATAAAGGACACCAGATCTGCAACAACGGGATTTGGCTGTAATTTTAGCACAAAAGATCCTGCGTTCAGCCAAACTTGAACAGATTATATAAATGGACTTTTGTCAAACCCCAGTTTCCTGTGAAGTACCACAGGGAAGCAGTGTTGGACCACTTTTATTCCTAGTCTATATTAGTGAGGCCTAATTGCCTCAGTTTACCCTAACTGGGAATGTTCGCCGGCCGTGACTCATATAAATTCTCGCTACAGGTATAATGACCGACCTCGAAAATGTCGTAAATTTAGAGTTACGAAACCTTAATCGCTGGCTTATATCCAACAGACTAAACCTTAATCAGGTTGCCAAAACTGAATTTATGGTAACTGGGTCAAATCAACGCGTATGCTCTTACGAATAATCATATTAATATCGTGATCGACGGTAAATCGATCCAAATAGTTGATGCAGCCAAATGTCTGGGCTTGTTAATTGACGAACACCTTTCATGGTCAAAGAAAGAACAGCTCTTCAAATCAAGAGCCATAATGGCTCTTGTCCAAATCTAACAAGAGTTAATTTTAGCCCACTTTGACTACCGTGCCTTTTGGGATGGACTCAGCTTTACCTTGAATGATGAGCTGGAACTCCATTAGAGGGCTTCATAACCGGGTCAAGTTACAATACGAAAGCCAGCTTTCTCCTTAACAGAACCCACTGGGAAAATCCTTCTACTCTTCGAAGGTAGCTTAAGGCCATGTTAATATTTTAAACAATCAAATAAAGGGCTTTCCCCCTTGTACTTGCAGGACTTATTCAGCATCCGGGAACAAAATTCGACTTACCCAAAACAGCCACAAACTAAAACCACCGTTTCACTGTTCCACCACTCTTAAATATCCCTGTGACACTGTTCCACTGTTCCGCTATTCCACCACTCATTTTTATCCCTGAGACACTGTGCCACTGTTCCACTGTTCCACCACACTATACTATCAACGTGACTCTGTGCCGCTGTTCCACTGTTCCATAAAATTTTACTATCGTTTTGACACTGTTCCGCTGTTCCACTACTCTTAACTATCCTCGTAAAACTGAGCCACTGTCCCACAATTCCGCCACTTTTTACTGTGGCTGTGACACTGTACTAATGTTCCACTGTTTCACCACACTTTACTATCACTGTGAAACTGTGCTACTGTTCCATCGTTCTACCACTCTTTACTGTCTCTGTGGCTCTGTGATACTGTGCCACTGTTCCACTATTTCACCACTCTTTACTATCACTGTGACACTGTGCCACTGTCCACTGTTCCACCACTCTTTACTGTAACGGTGGCACTGTGCCACTGTTCCACCATTAAACCACACTTAGGTGCACTTGTCACACTGTGCCACTGTTCCACTGTTCCTCCACTTTTTGCTATCCTTGTGACACTGTGCCACCGTTCCACTGTTCCACCACTCTTTGCTATCCCTGTGCCACTGTACCACTAGTCCACCACACTATACTATCGCTTTGACTCTGTGCCACTGTTCCAAAGTTTCATTACATTTTACTATCGTTGTGACACTGTTCCACTGTTCCACCACTCCTTGCTATTCTTGTGGCACTGTACCACTCTCCCACTGTTCCACCACTTTTTTTCACCCCTGTGACACTTTACCAGCGTTCCACTGTTCCACCACTTTATACAATCACTGTGCCTCTGTGCTATTACACGACTGTTCCACCACATTTTACTATCGTTGTGACACTGTGCCACTGTTCCACCACTCTTCGCTATCCCTGTGAAACTGTACTCTCACTGTGACTCTGTGCCACTGTTCCACTGTCCACCAAACTGTACTCTCACCGTGACATTGCGCCACTTTTTCGCTGTTCCACCACACTTAGAAACTAGTTTCTAAAGAAAAAGCACCTGGGAATCTGGGAAAAAGGCTGGTTCTTTTAATAGGTATCCTCAGACCGCAGGTTAGCCTTTGACTGCCTGGGTAGCAAACCTCTTACTCTAAGGCAGCTTATTCACTGCAAAGATTAACAAAATAGAAAGTATTACGTATGATGGCATTACATCAAAAATAATATAAAGGTTACATAATTGAGGATGGGAATGTCACTACGTGTGGATGTGCTACCGTTTCAGCTGTAGATGTAGATAAAGAGGAAGTCGTACTTAACTAGACATGCCATTTGAAATGCGAAAGAATATGGGCCACACTGTACAAACCAAGGAGCCAGTAAGGGAATCCATATAGTGCCGTGTCAATAAGTAAGCAAAATGCTATTTAGACAGATAGATGGTATTTAACACTTCGGTTCCTAATGTGTGACCTAAGACAAATTCGAAGCCTACCTTTCAAACCTTTTTTTTTTGCCGCGTGCCAAACTGGGACAACATCCATATCACAATGTTTTTTAGCAACTTTCACGCAAATATAATACGTATCTTTACCATTGTCTTTAATTAGCAACCCTCGTAAAAATAGTCTGTGGGAACGTTATTCAAGAAACTCTCTTTCGCCCTATAGAATCTGGTGTTTACCTGGGGAAAAATTGAACTTTATCCGTCGATGTCACGCTGAAGTTAATGATGACTTCCGGCTTACCACTTTAAGTCCAAATTTAGTCAGATTATTTTTAAGCTGTTTAGATTAAAAGAAAAAAAAACCTGGTGGTTTGGCGGCCTTAGTAGTCATGACAGTCACTATTAGAAAAAGGAAGAAGAAAGTGTTTCACCGGTTCATCGAAATTTCATGGCCTATGCACACTTACGTTATGCGCGACATAAGTTTCCTCCTCACGCTTGACCTTGAATGGACCAATCAGAAGCTTTTTTATTGTGTTTAATAAAGCCTCCCTGACAGTCATGTGCACAATAGCTCTTGGTCGGGATTGGTCGTCTGGCTAGTTCTTTTGAGGCGCATATGCCAAGCCCCGAGCCCAGTGGACAAGTGACGTCAAATGACCACAAATATACAGCTAAATCAAACAACACAATTAAGCAGGACCAAACAGACCAATTAACAATTTGGAAATGAAAAGCACATTTCTAGCGACGAAAGTGCCTACAGAGGCTCCTCGAAAGTTCCTTATTCTTCCGGCCCAGTAAGATATTCATAATCTTCAGGGAATCTAGCTTGCGTGAGCTGTTACACCAAGGCATTGTCACGTTTTTGAGGAGTTTTAGGCCAAGAAAAGAATGGTAAGACGTAAAATTTTGGTTGCACGTTAGGTTAGACACAGGCCGCCTCAATAGGCGTACACGTGTGGGTACAAAAGCAAATGAACAGGCATGAGCTGTAGAATTTTTCAGACTTTTGATTCCGCTGACGACACCCTATGGTGTGACCATTCACTTTCATCTAGCTCGAATCCTATTGGTACCTTTCTCCTCGCGTGTGTGCTCGTTTTCGCGCGCATCACTTATCCTGCGCCCCAAATTCCTAAACATCTTTCCCGTAGGCTTCACTTTCATCTACCACAATTTATTTTTGTGTTGTGTGTTGTTCTAGTTGAATCTGTCGACGAATCCTGTGGAGTAACCATTGAAATAAATCCTCCTTGACAGCTCTCTCACAAGGTAGCATCTGTCCTTCAGAATTATACTATATGAAGCTTCCGATTTATTTTTACTGCAGGCCACACGCAAACACACGGGTCATCAGTACTCCCTTTAACCCCTTTTAAGCCCTTCTAACTGTTCTAAAAGCGTAAACCAGTCACAATTGGACACTGACCATTTTCAGTGTCCATAGAAGCCAAAACACGAAGAGACAACCTGCCGGATCTGCTACAAAAAAATATATTTCTTTGATTTTACGTGAACATCAGTGAAGCGAAAAAGTATTGTTACTCTGAGTGATAGACATACTGTAATTAGTACGGATGTAATTCTTTCCTGATATACGTTAATAATATCGATTTTTTTTTTTTTTTCATCCTTTACTTCTTACAGTTGCTTCCGTAAGAGGACACTTTCCATATTTATGAGCCCACAGGTAGGCCTGATTCCGAAGGTGTCCGCTTACTGGACATTAGCCTGACACTTCACGTTAGACTTCGTGATCATGGCAGACGGTTATAAGCCCAGTGACTCGAGCAGTTCTACGTAGTCCGCTTCTTTGAAATGAGTCTCTAACTGGTAGAAGTTAAAAACGTCGCTGTTTCAGATGAATTACCAGTTACTTTTTAGGACAAAATTTTCTAACTTGAGCATCAGCTTCCCAGTGCTGTTGGCGCAGGCTTTCTTTGGATCAGTTTCTGATCTCCTCACTAAAATTCCGCTCCAGTCAGTGTCTCTGTTGCCCTGATTGACACATGTCAGCCATCTTTTCGATGAGCAACAGAATTCTGCCGGTTCCAGCTAATACTTTGTCAGATACAGAAAAATACAGATCATTGCCAGAACCTCACTTTAGTGGCTTTTGTGGTGGATGACCGCTTAAGAAGATATTTATTGAACAGAGTGAGGATGCAGGAAATCTTGTCAGTTTCTAAGAAGTTGGCCTCAAATCAGGGTTCGTCAAACTTAAAAAAAGGCATGATGCCATTAAGCAAACGCTGAAAACGGAAGTGCTAAATGACATCCGGTGTTTAATAACCTCGTATACTTGCATTATTTGGTGTGGAGAGTGTCGACAGCATTGATCTTTCAAAGATTTCGCTATTTCCTTTCCGGTCCTAGCGTTTTATTCAATAGGAATAGAGCAGAGTGATCTCGGGAATATATACAGGGATATACATGCATTCCACGCGAGTGCGTCAAAGACGCAGTGTGACTTGGAGATAGGCACGAATCCAGATTGAAGTTATTTTTAACGCAGCGTTTTAATTGGGCGTCGGGTTTCAGGAGAAGTGGGTGTTAAGGCATGAAACAGTCTTCTATCATTTGTCATTTAATCAATTAAAAACGAGTAGCTTAGTTGATTAGTTGAGGAATGCGATAACTTTTCGCACCTAAGCCGCACAATTTTTCGACTGTCTTCACGTGAACCAAAAAAAACACCAGTCGGATATTCTCATTACAGGCGACGTAAAAAGGGGATTGTCAAAAAAATCAGTCTTGAACGCCCAAGACACTTTAAAAAGGGCCTATCCCATTAAATGCATCATCAGTTGAAGTTTCGTTGAATCCTCTCCATAGGCAATTGTCTGAAGATACAGAGGGTGTTGAGAGAATCCGGTCATTGAAAGAAGAAGCCTAAAGCAAAAGTCGATTCCTCTGCCTGCAATAATTTGAGGAATTCGACTTCAAGTTGTGGAGATACGGCAAGCCTTGGAACTTAACCCAAATTTTCATCTGTGGAAAATGCTATTTCAGACTCACAATATGCCTCGCATGCTGTTTTCATTGACGTTTTTCTTTGCATTTTATCTCTGCGTGGTTCACGCTGGCGATGATGACTACGACCCTTGCAAGGCGGGTAAGTTTCCCAATCTTAATTACCTCCAACCACGGCATATTTTGTCTTCGTACACCATTATTTAACCCCCTTCGTTTGCGAGCCTGTGGCAAATCCTTAGTAATTCAGAGGAGCAATTTGGTAATTGATCGTTATAGAAGTTCGCAGAAAAAATATCTGGAAAATGTCAGACAAATTATGAACAATAATTGCATAATGGTTTTAAGACTATTTTGTGTTCTACACGGTCTTAACACTACTCTAATTGTAATGGACCGTTTCCTTGCAAAGCCATTGCAGCTCTGTTCGAAGCAGATTAATCTCATTGAAAAGATGTTATCTCCCTCTTTGTAATGATACGGGTCGTTAATACTCCATCGTCATTCCTTCTAAAGACGGCATTGTCCAAGGAGATATAGCAGTATCAGCCGATGAGCTACTTCGCCACAGACCTAAAAGGGCCGCAACTGCTTACAATAAGAGGCTATGGCGAGACGGAGTGGTCCCGTTTACAATCGACCAATCCTATACAGGTTAGTGTAGTAAAATTTATTGTTCTGTTGTTTTTAACCTTTCTGTCCAAATAATGTTACAGAAGCAAAATCCCATTGACAAGTAAGCTTATTTTCCAAGTGAATTTCGATTTTCATACTACTGTAGCTTTCTAACGTTATTATCTACGGACCTCAGTTATCTTCAACTTGCATGGTTCAATGTTTGTTTCATTTTTTTTCTTGTAAACAATCGAAACTTGAAGCCTGCATTTCTTCGCACAGATCAACAGAAATCAGTTGATCGTAATTTTATTATCATTAAAAAATGCGCTCTCATCACCTTCGCGACATTTTCAGCTTTTCATTATCAAATATATATCAACGAGCGCATGATCGTGCCGACGCACTGGAGGATAACTTAGTATCAAACCTGGGTAAACGGTTCTCAGCAGTGCTGAAAAATTCTTCCGTTATCAAATTGCTTGTGTCGATCAGATAGCAGATGGAAATTTTTGTTTTGCTGAAAACATAATTAATAGTTTAACTTTGATAACAGAGTAGTATATCGATTACATGGCACGTTTTATGGCACATGTACTCATATTTTAAAAGCATTTTCACGCTTCTTGGCCATTTCAAGGGTTTTCATTGTCATGCCGGATTAAACACGCACATCTTTTTTGTTTATTTAAATTGAGTACTCTACCTAATCAACTATTACAGAGGTGAAGCCCTGTAACTAGAACGTAAACAACAAATGTCGTTGATTTCAGTCATTTAGTGTGAAGGTCTATTTGAATGTGTCATTTTTCCCACCTTTACCCTTAAAATCAAACACAGAAACACCAAAGAAAACAGAATTCGATGCCATTAACAGAAGGTTCCAAACACAATTTTAACCATTTCCTTTAGTTTATTCCTGTTACTCGACATTCATTGGCTCAGCTGGATTTGTCCTTTCGTATGCTGAGGAAGGGAGGGGGGAATTCGTCAAGAGAATTCCACTACTAATTATAACTGTCCAGCCATCTGTTTCTAAATAATATGAACGGAAGTAATGGAGTCATAGTGAAATCTCTCCAGCTTACTTTATTTTCAAACCGACCGGTTTGGTCCACCACTTCAGGCTTTAGGAAGCGCCCTAAGGGTGATATTGCGACATTGAACGTGCAGGATGTGGTATTTTTTCGTTGGGTCGATTTTTTCGGAGTTGCACTTGCGGTAATTGCCTATTCTTCTCTTCGGTATTGCGATGTTCCGGACCCCTCAATATTCTCTCAATACTCGCGCTGAACACGAGATATCAGAAACTCAAAAAATATTTTGTGAAATCGTTTGTTAAAAGGTTTTAGCAAGGAAGTGGTAAAAGTGAAACCCGAAACAATTTTGACTTAGCCCTCACGTAATTTTTTTTAGGCTTTTTAATTAGGTTTGACACCTTCAGAAACACTTCATTTTTCTCCATTTCCTAGAAGGCTTTTAAAAGGAGGAATTTAGAAAGTGTTCCGTGAAAGAATTTTTAAATTTGATAATTTCTTTTAAATTGATCTAAACAAATTTTATTGGCTGTTGATCACTGTGGCGCGTGCATATAAAGAGTTATAAATATTTATGGTTACAAAAATGGATTGACCTTGGTTCACCTAAACTAAAAAAAAGACGGAATACCAAACTCGGTAAAAAGGAAATATTGCTTGCAGTTGTGCTTATTTGAAATCCGGTCTTTTTTTGAGGAAGAGAAAAAACAAATGGTCCGCTGTTTTTGAGGAAAATGATGACCCGATAAAAGAGGGGTATCCGCATTTGCTGCTTCCAGTTCATTGGATATTGATATCATAGCCGTTCAATACAACATCGCGAAGCTGAAATCACGAATGAGGCCAAATGTTTACAATAAAAACAGCATTTTTGTTTCTTTTCGTAGGGATAAACATAGTAATCTGAACTTCATCGGATTTTAGACTGATAAGCTTCTTATTCAGGTCTTTATTGAGCTGCCCTTAAGTTATGCAATTATTCATAGTCCAGTGTCCTCTTCCCTTTCTTGGGGGTGGCCTGTCTTCTTCTCTGTCTTCTTCTTCTTCTTCTTCTTCTTCTTCTTCTTCTTCTTCTTCTTCTTCTTCTTCTTCTTCTTCTTCTTCTTCTTATTTTACTTCTTCTTCTTCTTTACCTCCTCCTCCTGCTCTTTCGTTGAACGAAACAGCTGTCTATGGCTGTAGCCCTGAGGCCCCGTCGATGTCTTGCCAAATATGAAATTCATATATTCGTTATTTCATCATCATCCTTTCCCGGGTATATTACGAACCAAAATGATGACCATCTCCCAGTTAGCTTGCTAGCTCAGTTGGTTAGAGCGCTGCGCCGGTACCACAGCGCGAGGTCAGGATTCGAAAAGGCCCAGCAAGCTAAAATTTCTTTCTGCAACAGCATAAGTTGGGTCTCTAACTGTGATCATCTTCTTTACATTTATTAACCTAATTGTCGGCCTCGTTTCCTATTCGTCATTCTTTTAGAATGATAAGAACCCGTGTAGAATCCTAGTATACATACAGCATTTTCATTTGTGGTCTTTTGATTACATTGCTGTCAGTTTCATATGTCTAACGGCCGCCACATTCTTCTGTGCTTGACAGCACGCCCGAGCTGGGCCAATTCGCCTAAAGAACTGAAATTCATCATGGAAACAAAAATTATAAGCACTGGGTGAATAGTCGAAACTGCTTCACTTTGGTGTAATTTACAGTACGTGTGGTTTTGTTTCGCGCCCATTTGGTTGGGAATTCCTTGCATGCAGTGTGTCAGTCTTCTTCCGTAAACGTTATGGCAAAGACGCATATTTGACTAGTCAAGGGCTCGCAAGGCCGTTCATGAACCCTGCCCCTTTTTATCGTAAAGTTCTGCTTTAATTGGTTCAATTCGGTGCTGCGTTAACACTCAAGCTAGTGGCCTGAAGAAGACTTTATTACTCTGTTATTTCTATCGATAGAGAACGAACTCCTAAAACAGACTTTGGTGAGATTTATGGCCTGAAAACATTAAATGAAGGGACGAATCTGGGAACACTTGAATGCCTGGCATTTCCACATATTTTGGAGGGTGAACGGTATGACTTGCCAAGAAAGACATAGAAAGCCTCTGATCGAGATTTTTCGAACGCCCTCCCTAATCCTACAATCTTATAGGTTAGTTGCAAACTAATTGTCCGTTAAATTTTTTGCCCGACCTTTTTATCGAGTGGTGGTCTGCTAAAAACCGTTTTAGACTCCTTTAAAGCTAATGACTTAAGCAGTGAAGAGACGGGACGCTATTTGCTCGCTTCCGACGGAAACGTGAAGAAATTTCTCCTGTACACGTGACTTCCGCAGGTCTACTTACTTGCTGTATAATTGACTACTGATTAATTTCGGACAAGGTTAACTTCACCCCACCTCTTGCGAAAAGGCGGGCTATGCCCCTGCTAAACCATTATAGTTCCTTATTCTTTGTTTGACGAAATTCATTTTAAAAGTTTCCTTAGTTAAATACGATGAGAGATACTGAGTACTTAAAAATACCGTGACTTAGACCTAGTAACTGAACCTCCAAAGTGTAATTATAAGAGGGTTAGTGTAGCATGCTGGGCTACTGAAACAACTAGATTCCTTTTCCAGCCTGCTCTATAAATATGCCTTCTTAACAGCGGTCATAATAAACAATGTCTTATTAGGATTGGCCAAATTGAAAAAAAGAATTTTGCTGTTTAACACTTGCTTAACTCACATTAAATTTCAGACAATTTAGATGTTCAAAAGTAAAAATGGCAGCTGTAGTAAACATTTTTTAAAAAACTTTGGCAATACTGTATATAACGAAGGTTCGAGATCTCACTTGTTCCCTCTTATTGGCCTTTTAGGCGTTGCTGTTGCCATCTCATCTTCTTACTCCTAACAGTCTCCTAGGCATCGTTTAATAAAGACATAATGTTTTTCTCTTGTGGTCCTGACCTCATCGCAGAAACTTAAGTTACAAAATAAGCGACGAAAAGAATAAAATTTTCTCTTGGCTACACAGCAATCTACAAGCATTGAACCTTCTAATTCGTCCTCACATTTGAGGGCCAAGGTCATTGTAACAACGCGTTCGTGGCATTTCCTGGGGCACTTTTCTTTCACATGTAAAAATCAACTCTAGCCCGACTGCAAGGAAAAAACTGGAAGAAGAAAATAACAATGAAACTTCAAGCTGAACAAGCAATTATTTCTTTCTATGTATACCTCCAAGGAAAAGCTATTTATTTTTAAGGAGTTTACTTATGATGTTGCAGTAGCCTTTTGACCATATCAATTTATTCTTTATCACTGATATTAATTAAGATTGGCTCCATCCAGCGCTCCGTTCTCGAAACATCGGATGAAATAAACCGTACTCATTATCTAAGGTAGCGTTAACTTCGGCTTTCCTCCTTCAATAATTTCCTGATTATCTATTTAACAACAAGTCAATTACTAAAACAAATAAAACTAATCCTAAGAGGAATTTCCTATGTACATGTATCTAAAAGACTGTTTATTTAAATACGATTTAAATCCCAAATATTCAAGGCTAGACTGATTAGCCGGTTTGCTTGGGATTAAAAGGTTTACTGATTATAGATTTGACTAAATACAGGGGACGGGCGGATCTAGGGGGAGGATTCAGGGGGTGCGCAACCGCCCCCTTCCCCACCCCACCTCTAAGAAGTTTGTAATTTTATTTATTTGGAAATAGTTGATATACTTTTTATTGTATAAGACTCCAGACAAATAAAACATGTATGTATGTATGTATGTATTTATGTATGATGATTGATGACCTGCGGCTTTCTTATGCAACTGTTATTCTGCAAAAAAAATCTTTGTGGTTTATTGGTGTTGAAGTAAAAAATGAGACGAAGTTGATACTGAGTTGATATGTTGATATGTATTCTCAGCAGTTCACATTATTTTATTGCCAAGTCAAAAGCCTCCTTCTTCGTATTCGCTTTTAAAATTTGTTTACGTCACCAGTCGGTTACGCCATTCCTTTATGGGCATCCCCCCAACAAAAATCCTGAACTAACCAACCTATATTTTTTCAAAGGGGCTGTGATCACGGCTAGCTACAATAGTTCATTTGGCCAATGACCTGTCCTTATTCGCTATGAAACTTGAAAAATTGCTTCTGAATTACAAAACCACAGCTTCGTGTCAAGCAAATATGTCTTCCAAGGCATCATTTCAAACGTTTCAAACAACAAAATTGAACCTTGAAAAACTGTTAGGCTAACACGTTTTCAAAAACCACAATTGTAATCCATTTCAATCTTCTTCAAGTTTGTTCATCCGTGTCTCTTTTTGTACTTTTAAATTCTTCTAAGATTTTCAGTATTTTTTATGTTTCACTCAATTTGGTGACAGTTCTCATTGGTTTCTCTTTTTTTAAATCATAATTTTGATAAATTCGTGAAACAGCTCCTTTAAGCTATTGACGGAAAATAGCGATCCGGCCTTGCCAGACCCTTGCCAGTTTTCTTAGCTGGAGCTATAAAGACTGATCAAGGCCAAAAAACCCTCTAGGTAGAATTCGTTTTTTTACTGTACAGTGAATTTTGACACCCTTTAACTTTATTTGTTAAGTTAAGGCCCGGTTCAGACGCCGACTTTTCATGAGCAGAACCTAATTCGAATTAAGGCCGACCCAAATTATTTAGACCGGCTGAACTGAACCAAGTTAAAAGGCGGAAATGCTCATTTCGATCAAACTGCTTACAAAATAGGTTATAATAATTTATGCATTAGGTTCGGTACATGAAAAGTTCGGCGTCTGAATCAAAGCCGTTCCAAAGTCGCTCCCAAAGCGAAATTCCCGGCCGGGCTAGGCGAAAAGAACGGCTGAGCAGTTCCAAATTAAAACAGGCGTTCCTAATTGATTGAGACGCCGAACTTTTCATGAACTTAATTCAACGTATTAGGTTCGGCTCATGAAAATTTCGGCGTCTGAATCGGGCCTAAGTCACAGTTAATTAAGAAGATATCGCGCCAAACAGAGTCTTGATGCCTTAGGTTACTTCCCGGGGGTTACTTAAACAAAAGAAGCAAGAATATCTCAAAGATGAAAGTCATCTATTTTGAATTAATTCTTTTAGAGCCGAAATGCTATAAAAAGGTGTTTTTTTTTCCTTAAAACTGCTTTAAGTTGGATTTTTGGATTAGTATTTCAAAGTACTTAATCCAATATTCAAGCCTATAAACTCGAGCTCCTTTTCATCGACTTTAATGCCGTCTGCAATGTAACGGTATTTCAAAGGTATATATCGTCTCGACATCGTCTGATCATTTTTAACCGAGCTCTCTCAGAATCCGCTTACAGTATTTAAAACATCTTAAATCAACACTTAACATTCTTCCAGCAGAACCGTTGGCGACGAAGCCGCGCGTGTAGCTCCATTATTATTGCGGCTATACAGTCTAACTGAAAAACAACAATGGAATGAAGTCAGTCTATGGAAAACGCGCGATAAATCCTGCTACCTAACTCTATATCAACAAAGTTAGTGTCCCTTTTTTAAGAGATGCGTGGTTGGCAATAACAGAAAGGTTAACGGAATCATGTTTACGGCAAACGGCACTCGTCAAATTCAATTCGATGATTATTGAAAACAGATAGATACGTATTTATTATTATTAAATATTGTTATGCGGTCGTATTTTATATTGTACCAAAAAAACCCGATGAGTTTTTTACGGTGTTAAAATAAAGATTTAAGATTCGAGATTTAAAGATTTGAGGAAATGAACAGATAAAAACTGTACAGACCGATTATTATGGTGAAACTGGCGTGAAACTACTATTTTTTTTCGCAAAGAGATAATTAACAGTAAACGCGCGATGGGTAAAGGGTCACGTGGTACAAATTGGCGTTCGCAGTAAACGCGATTCTAATTGTTTCTAATGGAGACTAACTAAATTAAATAACGTGTAGAGGGCCAACCTTGCATCATAAGATATATATAACTCATTATGACTATGCAGGAATCCAGAACTTACTACACGTATACCTAATTCATCTGTTAGGCCAGTGGCCCATAACTGGCTCGGCGTTTGAACCCGACATGCGCAGTTTCCTGAGTCAGAAGAGGCTGTACTGGTAAAGAGTTTTGTAAACAAAATGCCGTCAAACCCCTATAAAATGAAACTCCAGTATACTCCAGTATTGTTCGGCTTCAATAATGCCAACATGTATGGGACTGGAGCCTGCAATAGCTTAGCCTGTACAAGGGTGTTTCTAGGGCCTTAAGGCTGGTTTGGGGAGCGTGATCGAAGCGCTGAAACATGCGAGAGGAGGGAAAAGAGAAAAATAACTAGTAGGTTTTTTCTTTAGCTGTGATCCATGCAGGCTAGTAATAACGTTTTCACGTTATAACGAACGTTATTCCAGTAGGGACTCAGGTATTTTCGAGATATTTAAGACTGGTATCAGTTGGGATATTCGTAACAGTTTTCCTGTTCTTTCCTCTTGAACTAGTCGGTTATGTAATTGGTATTTTAAGGCTGCTTTAAATCCAGTTAAGCTTATCCTCCTAATTTGTTTGTAATCTGCGCTTACCGACAAGCTATCGTCAATGATTGAGAAGAATTTGGCGGCATTTTATTTTTGTCTCGTCAAATTCTTTCACGAAGATTAATTATCCGTGATGACGTATTGCATTCACAAAGGATATCATTTGCTGGGCTTTTGATGTGTTTAACTTTCAATTTCCGCAATGGTATACTGTTCGTAGACAAAATAAATTCATTCCTTTCTCGTGGAATCCAGTGAGGAAAATCGTTTTTTGTATAAGCTACAGCTTTTATCAAAATAACATTGTTGCAGCGATCCCTTGGCAGATAACTCCACTCATAAATTGTTTCGGGGACTGAGCTGAAGCTAAGGTCAGCTTTCACTTCGTTTTAGTGCCACGGAATTCCACTGATAAACTATATGTTCAACACTTGCATGGCCGAAATAAATGGCATTACAGGAAAGATCGGAAGCACAAAAACTTGGCATATAGGTTATTTTCTACCTGGAATTCGCTCCCCCTACATGGCGTTATTTTTTTCCAAAATTTTTTTTTGTTTCAACCTTTGTTTTTATAAGGGCGTGATCAAGCTCACATTGACCTTGCAATTCTAAAAGCTTTGTATCTTTCCTCGTAGCTAATAAAAGCATGTTTAAGAACTTTCCTGGCCCGCGCGTGCAAATGAGTGCACATGATTGAAACTCACCCCACGTATGTCTGTAATTTGTATGTTTAATCAAATGGTGACGAGTGAAAAAGACTCAGGAAATTATCAGAATTTGCACAAAACGTGAGTGAAATTATTTCCCAATAAAAAGGAGAAACCAGCATTGTACACAAGGGTTTGTGTTTTTACATGTGGTTTTTTTCGAAGAACGCACACTCTCATTGGTTACTTCGAGGTCACATGACATCTATCAATGAAACTGTTTCAGCCTAAATCTCCGAGCGGGGCAACATTGCAAAATCCATGACGTCAGAGGATACCGCGAATGTTGGCCGGTGACCGCCGTTACAGCGAGGTTTCAGTAACGAATTTCCAGCTTCAAAATTTCGAACTATATATATAACAAAACACTTAACGACTGGTCCCTCGTAGACTGCGAGTAGCCTCTCTTTTTCATCAGATTTAGTAAGGGGAGTGCACGCGCGCGAGCGTTTAGCGGTGAAGCCGCGAGACGCGAGAAACGAGGGCGGCAGCCCGAGAAGAAAAAATAGAGTATCTCTTTTATTGTGCCTCTCCCGTCTCGCGCCTTCAGTCACGCGCGTGATCATTTTTAAGTCTCGGGCGTTTTGGTCGACGGACCAAGAAAAAAGAGAGGCTGCTCTTAGTCTAGGTCCCTCGAGAAACAGTTAATTTTTGTTTCTCTCGAATGTCGATGTTTCCCGAGGCGGAGCCAAGGGTAACGTTGAGACTCTAATTTTTCTCAAAAACGTTAAGTGATAAGCGTTTTTACTTTTCAGGTGACCAGAAAGCCACTCTTATTCAGGCAATGCGCCACTGGGAAAACTTTACATGTTTATCATTTATTGAACGAACAACAGAGAAGGACTATGTCTTTTTTCACAAAGGTCGCTGCGGGTGAGTAATGGGATAGTCAGAGTATACAGTCTTGGAAAGTGCAACACAGATTGAAAACCGTAAACTGAAGCTTAACAGCGCCCCTGCCCCTCCCCTCCCAACTTATAAGCCCTCCAAGTTATAGCCCATCTACCTGTAGCCTGTGTACAGAAACCCTTCCCTCCTCCCCTCAGGAAAAACCCCTTCCCCGATTTTTTCTTAAGGGGAGGGGGGGGTCTGTACAGAGGCTAATCTACTTGTAAACCAAAAAATACATCCGATTATAAGCCCCCTCGTATTAATTGAAGCCCCGCTTATTTATGAAGTTTTGAAGCTTAATCAAAAAACAAGTAAATGCAAAACGTATTTTGATCATCGCTGCTATAGTTTGTTTCAAAGCGCTTTTTCCATTCCGGTTATAAGCCCTCCTAGTGAAACCTCTTATGAAGATGTATAAGCTGCAGTTTCCAGTATAACTCTTTAAGATCATTTATGCATTGAATTTGATCAATGTCCACCCAATTTCTTCAATTTCCTGACATGGTAAACGTCATATATTATTCTCACTGGCGGAGAAACACGCACAAAAGTCTAAATAAGCATCAATGCACTTCCTGCCATTCTCAGCGTTGCCCCGGAGAATACAAGGCCACACCCACAGATCATGTTCCTCCTTTTAAAGGGCAGCCTCAGGTTGATTATTTAAGTTTAGGTCTCGGCACCTTCGAAAGCAGTTCTCGCCCCACCCTCCTCACCGCTGCAATAGGGCATACCTCATATTCTCTCCTGGTGTACAGACTCGCAAAGCCTCGGGCCGATTCTCCTATATCTTATGCACTTAGACTCATTTAGCTTTGTGAGCGGGTGTTCCGCGTGAGAATATATTGCAAACACCATCAATTTATTTCGTAAACAGGTGTTGCTCGTATGTTGGACGGAAGGGAAATGGACGTCAGGGAATTTCCATAGGGAAGAACTGTGACAAATTTGGAATCGTAATTCATGAGATTGGTCACACAGTTGGCTTCTGGCACGAACATACGCGACCTGACAGAGGACAATATGTCACTATTATCAGGGACAACATTAAGAAAGGTGATCTCTTTGTTGGTCACTTTGATCCTCTTCAAAACTACCTTTGATTTTTCTTTTTTGTATATCTAGCCACTAGAATGCTGTTTTCAGAGTCATTTTTGAGACACAAAAACGTGCTATGGATTTCCATGTTCTCGTGTTTTTCTTTTCCACGCTATATGCATTGATTTACTAGGCAACTGTTCGCCAAACCCGAAATTCTTCAGACGACTTTGCTTGCTTTATTGCCACGTTTTTTTTTAACAAAAAGACGATTACCAATCGGCTTGAAAACGAGCTCTCCAGGCAAAATACCGAGCCAGGGTTCATGTCAAAAGCATCAAGAGAGAAGAAATCGTTATGTCCCATTACCATGCTAGCAAAATTTCACAACAATACACACAATAAGGAGCTTAAGCAACGACGACGGCGTTGTCAACGAGAACGGCAGAAAAGCATTAGGTTTACATGTATATTAACAAAACAACAACTTTACACGTGCAGCAAGCTTTTTTGTACATTTCTTAGCCGTCGTTGCACGACTTCGACATGAAACTTCCTAATTTTTACCCGCCCGCGGTATGGAGTAGGTAAATACAACACGAAAATTTTCCTCTTTTTTTTCTAAACTTAGATACGGTCCTTTCGTATTCAATCCCAGAACATTTCACCAACATTTGACAGATTGGATTAAAATGAATAAGATCGATGAAGTTTGAAACAGTGCGAAATCACTTTTAAAGTAACGTTTGCGGTTTGTTGTCATCCAGAAATTTTGCTACCATGGTAACGTGACGTAACGACTTCTCCTCTCTATTGGCTCGTAAATTATCTACTGTTAGGAACACTTACTATGAATACTTCTTCGGATATATACAGCTAGAAAGTACTGTATCCCTTGGGAAACAAAAGAGTTGATCAAACCAAATCGACAAACAAATTGAGATCGTACACCCTCTTTTGGAGAAGATTTTAGATAACAAGTGCTGTAATTGCAAACACTGGCTAAATCGGATACCAAATCTGTTGCTTAAGTTACCACTATAAAATTTACATTAGACGTGTCCTTCAGTGCTATTAAGCTGATTTAGCAACACAACGAGAACGTCAGTTGACGACGGCGCGCGCAAATCAGACAACTGGTTTGACCAATAGCAGAGCAGCAAGTTGGGCACCGGAAGTCGCGTTCAGTCCTTTCCGCGCGCTATCCCGTCGTCATCTGACGTTCTCGTTGTGTTGCTAAATCTGTTGCTAAATTTTGTTTGCGGCAAATGATTCTTACAAGTCAGCTTGTTTCTGCCTGACTTTTTCAAAAGATCTTTAATTTCCTTGTTTGCTTGTTAGGCGAGGAACACAACTTCCTTCAACTGAGTTCAACAGAAATCAACTCGAGAAACGAGCCTTATGATTATGGATCCATCATGCACTACGGGAAGAGTACGTTTGCAAAAGAAGTCAATAAAGTCACTATTTTACCCAAAAGTGATCCAAGAACATCATTTATTCCTGACATTGGACAAAGAGACCGTCTTAGTGCAGGCGACATTAGACAGATATCTAAGATGTACCGCTGTACAGGTAGGAAAATGTTCTCAAAAGTCTCGCCTTAACCCTTTAAACCCTAAGATCAAAATGAGAATTCTCCTTTGTTGCCTCTATTCATTTCCTACAGAAGTAGTGGGGAGAAGTTGAAAAAAAATCAAACAGATTTATCTTGTGTGATCATGTCCGTCATTCTCATGACCACTCTGTTTTACAAAGCATTGATATTACAAGGAGAAATTTGATGCTGATCACTCTTAGGGCTTAAAGGGTTAAACCACTGTCACATAGAGTCACAGTTATTCAATACTGTTCCAAAGCTGTATGTTTTTCCGTTTAATTGTAATTTATTGTCACATCAATTCCGGAATAAACCTTATTGACTTCGTTTCATAGTAGCCTCAATTCGAATCACGTAACGGTAATCAAGGGAGAAAAGTTTAATCTCTCAAAACGGATACCTCTTCCGCTAGTTCAAGACGGAAAGAAATACATTTATCGAAGAACCTCGCGAGGCTCAGCGGGGGATAAATAGAGTAAATTGGGTAAATGGGCCACACCCTTTTCTTTGACCCCTAATAAGGCAAATACTTTTCTTAGACAGACATTTAAGTGCCACAAAAGGTCATATTCATTTTCAATTGTCTTTATCGACAGAAATCTTCCAGCCAAGAATGTCACGTGATCTACAAAGAGCAATAAGCTTTTAGAGCCAATGAGGTCAATTATCATACCATATCTTTTTCTGGCTAGTGTCACTTGTCACGCATATTTATTACTTTTATCTTCAGAATGTGGAAGAACACTCCATGAGCACTCTGGTACATTTACATCGCCTGGTTTTCCTAACAGTGGAAAGTATAAATTCTGCGATTGGCGTATTTCTGTGACACCAGGCCAGCGTATATCTCTGAATTTTACCGCATTTGGTCTCAAGCGATCTGCTAAATGCAAAGATGAATACGTGGAGGTAAGAGACGGTCATTCAAGAACGGCACCTCTGATTGGCAAGTTCTGTGGGAAAAAAGATCCACCTCCTTTAATGTCTACAGGAAGCAGACTGTGGATAAGATATTCTTCTGGTGATGCTGAGACTAGGCAAGGTTTCAAAGCAAGTTATAAAGGTACGTCATGTAAGAATCACAGGCAATTCGCCAATTAAGGAACGAGAACGAAAACTGGGCTTAGTTAACTTTCTTTTTTAGTACAATGAATGCAGATCGGCGAATTTGGCGATTTTCGAACCAAAACGGCTAGGCAGCAAGAAATTTTTAAGTTATTCTGTTGGGATTTATTTGCGTCATGAACAAAGCCCACCGCTTTTTCTTTTTAGGAATTTCTGATGAAATAAATAAATGAAATGATATGAGTGGAGAGAAAAACACAGAAAAAATTGAATTCTAGATTGGAATTGAGCCCACGACCTTCCGGACACCAGTCGGGTGCTCTAACCACTGAACTACTGAGAACTAAGTGGTGAGCAGGTCAATTATGGGCTGACATAACTGCCGCATCGCGCAGTCACATTGTCAAGTGAACACACAATATTGACTGCATCACACAGTCACGTAAATACTCTATGAGCTCTCTACTAGATTGTTGCTCTCTACGATAGTTTGCTCCTGTTTTTTCATTGAAAAAAACTCTCAACCTCGAGGCCCATTTTATAGACGTAATAGTCTAGACCCTTGTGATATTTAAGAAAGGAAAGGAGACTGAGGCCTAACCTCTGGAAATTATTCCGACTTTTTGCAGCGGTTTGTGGCGGGCCAATATCCGGTCGACAGGGTACCATTCAATCACCTTACTACCCTGAGTGGTATCCGCCAAACACGAAATGTACTTGGACAATTTCCCTGCCACAGGTATGTAATGCGTAATAATGGGGGATTTAGGCCAAAAAATATATATATATAATTAAAGAAATCTCTATTGAAAATGTCAGTGGAGGGGCCCCCGGGGCCCACCCCCCTTCTTTTTAGACCAAAATGAGGCCTAAGGGCCGAAAAAAAAGTTTTCGGAGACCGCTCCTACCCCCGAATTTTTCTCAGAGTCTGGATGATCGGTTGGATTTTTGATGCCAGCTGGTGTAGAATAGGGTAGCAAAATTACAGCTGACTATGGTCTAGTATACGGTAAAGGTCCCATGGCCCTCTGGGCTCACATAATTAACTCCTCCTGTGCCAAGCCATAATTAAAACTTTTTCCTCCCCTAACACTGTTGGTTCTTCAAACATGATGTTCCGGTTATGGGCAGCTAGTCTTCGCTAGCCATGATCATACAATTCGGGAGGATGCGAAGCCAGGTGGAAGTGTAAATCAGGGGTCATTTTTTTCTGTTTTTGTAATACCCGCTCTGACCATTGGTCCGAAATTTCCTCTTTGTAGTATCGACTTCAATGGTAATGAGAGACGGGACCATACAAAATAGTCACACAGTATTCTCTATTTTTTTTCTTTAGCATTTTAGGGTAGGGATACGCTTCAATGCGTTTGATATCGAAAGTCACCACAAATGCCTGTATGATTACCTCCAAATCTACGATGGACCTGACGTATCATCTCCAGTCTTAGGAAGATTCTGCGGAAAATCTCTTCCCAACGAGCTAAAGAGTAACTCTAGTCAACTAACTATTCAATTCGCCTCTGATGGAACTGTCATGAAACCTGGATTTTATTTGGAATTTTTCTCAGGTACTGCTTTTTGTCGCCCCATATAAGGTAATCTAGGGTGCTTACCATTGACAGAAAAATCCGGTTGGGGTGTCGAAAGCATAATGGTAAGCGATTTTCTAGTTTACGGCAGAATTGCCACATCCGTTACGGTTTGAATCCAAAAAAGGGGCGAATTTGTGTAGCGCGAGTCTAAAACCGAGAAGGAACCGAAAAGTGGTAAATGGTAAGAAACATTCCGTTTGGTTCGTACCAACCAGAATGAACGGACTACCTCAAAACGTACTCCTCAATTTTCGGTTGGAATTTCCGAAAAGTGAACTTACCATTTACCTTCCATCCGGAATTTCCGAAATTTTATGTCAAATGGTAAGCACCCCTGGATTAATCCGGACTTCTGGACTTTGGAATCAGTAATTCAGCTCAAGGAATCAGGACTCCACTAACGATTGGAATCCGGAATTTAAGCTCCACTGATTAGGAAACTATAATCCTGTACCTGGAATCCAGAATCCAAGAATGTCTTGGTCTACTTTACATGAGGCAATTTTCTTCTTTTTTGTGTGTGTCTGTTTAGTTTGTTGGCTTGTTTCTGTTTGAACTTTACGTTAAAGCAATACAATTTAAGGACCGGGAAGATATCGAGCAAGAAGGCCTATCTGGCAATCAGCAAAGAAACTATTTCTTTGTTGTTGACAAGACAGTACTCTAGTATTCTAAAGAAGAGGAGCAAGCGTATATGAGTGAACAGAGCGCTGGACAAGCGGGAGTTCTCGGACTACTTTCCGCTCTAATCACTAAAATTAGTTATTTCTCGGCTTTCCCCTAGTTCAAGCGTTGGCCAACTCTCGCTACAGTTTGCCTTCTGCCTCATGCTTAACTTTGTTTTGTTCATTCAGTTTTGGTTTACTTATTCCAATCGTTTGCTCGGCCCCTTTAAGCTTGTGTTATGAACAGTGCCGTGGAAAAATGAAGATTTTTTCAGGTTGTCTCGCCAGTGCTTCTATCACTATCATCTCGCTTCTTACGCCAGGTGTCTATTTCCTCTTTTAGAGATTAATGAATGCAGAAAAAACAATGGCGGATGTCAGCAAATTTGCGAGGATACCCTTGGTGGATACCGCTGTGCATGTAGGCCTGGTTATGAACTCAGATCGAACAACAAAGACTGTGAAGGTGAGACAGAGAGAGAGAAAGAGAGACAGAGAGTAACCTACGTTGAAAAATAACATATACTTATTCAATTATTTACAACATTAAAAGAACACAGGGTTGGAGTAGCACGAAAGTGATATAACAAAAAAAATGAAGCTTAGTAATAATAATGATAATGATCTGGAACTGCGGATGTGTATCTGTCATCCCTATCGTAACTGGAGCTTTTGGGATTGTACGTAAACACCTAAGGATGTGGATAAGCATGCTGGGAACACCTGGGATCATTGCATTGCTCCAGAAAGCTTGTTTGTCGGGAATAGCTAAGATCCTAACAAGGACCCTAGACACTTAAGGCTATAGGAGATAGCTTGATGCTTCGGGGAATAAGGCCACCTATAGGTGTCAGACATGCACATAATAATAATAATAGCAATAATGATAATAAGTAATAATGATAATAGTAATGATAACGATTTTCGAGGTAGAACATCCACACAGTGGCTCTTCGTGTACCTGATTCCTCGTCGGTTCTCAAAAACCAAATACGTACCCACAAATCCTTAGATCTACTAAGACCTAGAACCTTCTCACTCTCAAAAACTAAGGTTTTGTCATCCCAAGAGGAGTTTAGGTGATGTAGTTGTAAGACTCCCCGGGCTACCCTGTCTATCAAAAAATCTATCTAAAAAAAATGTCAAAGTAAGAATGAGACCGAGAGTGTTTTATAGAGGAGAGAGGAGAGGAGTATATATATTCAAACACAGCTTAGATAATCTGTGTAAAGGAAAAGATGAAGTTTAAGTAAGTAAAATTAAAAGCTTACTCCGTTACACCCTTGTCTTCCCTGTAAGTAAGAAAAAACTGTATCTTTTATTCGTCCTTGATTGTTTTGTCATTGTTCACCCAGCTGCATGCGGTGGAACATTAACAGCTCCAAAGGGCAACATTACGTCACCAAGTTACCCGGATGTCTATCCCAGAAACAAACGCTGCCTTTGGAAGATAACTGTACCCGACGGACAAAGAATTTCGCTAACATTTAATCACTTCCAGTTGGAAGGAAATGGATATGGGGTGAGCTTATGGGGAAAATGTCAAATTATTAAACCTGAAGTCGTTTTGTTTTGTTTTTTTTTTTTTCATAAACCCGTAGTACTAGTGAACTTAAATTGAGTTGTTTTCTTACCAAAATGCGATACGAGTACACGAACATGTAGTTCTATGTTGGCACTAAAAGTTCTTTGTGTGATTTGAGAAACGTTTGTAGTACTTGAAGCGAACATATGGAGTTCAGACCAGGCTTACGGAGGGCTAAAGACAATAGTGCATTCTAAAACCGTCAACCCAAAAAGTGGACGCTGTCCCTTAACATAGGTTTGTCGTTTACCGGAGGCTCCAACTGGAAGGTTTAGGCCGGTAAACCTTTTGCTGTTTTGGATAGGTGTCTTCAATCAATTGGCGTCGCTTATCGGAGTTAGTCAGTCGCTTACGACAGGTGGTCTTGCATATGGTATATATTTGGCGTTTAGATGAAACAGTTTTCAATTTTCTTCTTCGTACCTTTCAGCCTGTAGGTTCTTAATTAACTACCTTCTTATATGCGGGTTTTTACTTTATTGGTACTGACTGAATATTGTGAAGGGGGGTAATTGAACGTCGTGTCTTTCCTTTTTTTCTGAAATTATAAATTGTGATTTCAGACCAAATTGCACTCCACTCAGTCCAATTACTATTAGTAATGTAGTGTGATAGGGCTTAGGGCTGTATGATAGGGCGTTTATCGTTTGTCTCACAATAATGTCTTGGGTATTGATCGCGAAGTTTCGTCCACATACTACTGGTCTTCATCAAGTGATGGTATTGTTTCCGTTTCATTTTGTTTTCTTTTAGGTATGCCGTTACGATTACGTCGAAATAATAGATAAAGACGATCAAGTTCTTGGCAAGTTTTGCGGTGGAAAAATTCCCCAGACTGTAACATCATCGTCCAATCTTATGTGGGTGGAATTTCGATCTGACCACACCCAGTCAAGAGAGGGATTTGTTGCTGAGTATTACGCAGGTAACTAACAATGAAAATCACAATGGATAATGGAACTAGGCACCCTCGCATGCTTGTGATATTCTGGGCAGTGTGAATATCAACAAGCCTGCTTTTCCCTTGTCAAAGAAATGTGACGATTCTTTGATATGGGACAGAGTGGGTGTTTCATAGATAGTTTTTAAAGTGAAATGTTTGTAAAACCCGTTAGACTCCTTTGTTGTATGTTTTTGTTAGCTTTTTTGGACCTGACCGTGCACAACCTTAGCATTCCTATCATTTTGAACTTACTGACCAATAGAAACATCGCATTAATATATTCAGTCAGAATTTTTGAACAAAATTAACAAAGGATTGTGCACAGTCAGGGAGCTTCCAACATAAACTACAGCACCGTTGTTTTCAACTTTGATGCTTGCTGGCGTTCCTAACCAATCTCCTCTACTAAGGGCCTGTTTACATGGAGGTGGGGGACCCCAGGTAGGTGAGGTAACATGTGGCGGGTCACCCCGCCTAACATGTAAACGTGATCACACTAAAATTAGAGATTATATGGATAGGCGGGTTACCCCACCTAAGCGGGTTACCTCACCTACCTGGGGTCCCCCACCTCCATGTAAACAGGCCCTTACTAAGGTGTAGCGGAGTCTTTTGTTGGTTAGTTATTGTTTTGTCGGTGTGGTTAGTGTTCAGCGTCTTTTCAATCCGTTGTATTACGTCATTGGGTGATTGCAACCATCCGCAACATCAAGAAACTTTGAAAAGAGTTAACCTAGCTTAAATTAAATTCTTAGAGAAACTATTCCACTTGAAAACAAGCTTCTTCAAACAAGCACCTTTGTCTGCTACCTTTTTTTTAAATAAAGATTTTTACAATAATTGTATCATTGGTCTGTAGACACTTTTAAACAAAAGTAATGTTAAGTTGCAAAACAGAAAAAAAGGTGTGTTCATCTTATTCATTTAAAAGCAGGTATTTATCAATAAATATTTAAATCTGTAAATGCAAAGGGCACCCAGCTTGTTTAGCGCAGGGCCACGAGTTGTAGGGTAGATAGCCCTTCGGATCTTTCGAGACGCCGCACGCTTATAATGCTTCTTTATAGAAGCAGAGGAACAGAGGCAGGATTTACTAAGCAGTACTTTGGTCTCCCGACTCCAAATTACCCTGCGCGCTGCAAACAGGGGCTTAAGCAATGATGACAGCAGAGGCAAAAAACGTCGCACAAAAAAGGCACTTGCCCTATTTCAAACTTCTTCGCTTTTATTCAGTCTCGATCAATTTGTCAAATGTTGGGAAATTTTTCTGGTGTTGAATTCTAAAGGACTGTACAGACTGCATCCAGACTCAGAAAAAGAAAAAGAAGATCGTTGTCGCGGCACAGGACGAATTTTAAACCGGTTGAAAATTATGCCTAGCCGTTCAAAAATTTGCGCGCCAAAATCGGGGTCAAGTTTTTCGCTGGTCGAAAATTTGACCGGCCCGGCGTAAACACCAAAACTGTCAAAATTTGTTTAAGGCAATGGCATGGTTGCATGGATGCGGAGAAAATCAGCTGCAGGACGCCATTTTTAATCTGCTAAAGAAGCGCTCCGCGCATGGGTAATTTTTCAGCCGGTCAAAATTCATCCGGTGCCATTGGAACGTTGACGTAGCCTAGGACGTTTCACATCGTAGTCGTGTAATGACAGCAAAGAAATGTACAAAAAAGCGTGACGCACGTGCAAAAATGTTACCGTTGTTGCTGTTGTTGTTTGATTTTTTGTTTGCTTGCTAATTGAAACCTTTTGCTAAAGAAGCGCTCCGCGCATGGGTAATTTTTCAGCCGGTCAAAATTCATCCGGTGCCATTGGAACGTTGACGTAGCCTAGGACGTTTCACATCGTAGTCGTGTAACGACAGCAAAGAAATGTACAAAAAAGCGTGACGCACGTGCAAAAATGTTGCCGTTGTTGCTGTTGTTGTTCGATTTTTTGTTTGCTTGCTAATTGAAACCTTTTGCTTTTTTACCGTTCTCGTTGCCTTCACCGTCGTCGATTCGTAAACTCCCTGATAGTGTAGTGAGGCGGGGTCGAGGTTTATGTGAACGGCTTTGACACGGGCACGAAAATCAACCACTAGAGCCTGCTCAAGCCTATTCCAAATAGCAACTTTTTACAGTGCCATATGGAAAGTCAATATATGTTCTATATTAGTTTTTAACTCTGTTACTTAACTTGTATGACTGTATTAACAAGTGTTAATTCCTTATAATTGAACACTACATTGGTTTTGGTAGATGAGGATGAATGCCAGAATAGTAATGGCGGATGTCAGGAAAAGTGTGTCAACACTGTCGGCAGCTACATCTGTTCTTGTAGAGAAGGGTTCGTGCTACAAAATGATAAACACAGTTGCAAGGAAGGTAAAAGAATCTTTCTAGTTAATTTGGTCTGCACCAGATTTGACGGTTGCTTGCGCGCCCCCTTCTACCGAAGGATGAAATGTGCTCTACCCCCGCCCTTTCCCTAATGTCGCAATCAACTTAATGCAGATATGATTCTTACCAGTTATGTAAACTAGCCTAATGAGTGGTTCGGCAGAGATGAAACCTGTGTCCACGACTCATTCTTTGTGGAAGTCCAAACGAAGCTGGCTATATACGTGCCGTGGATGAGCAATAGCAACCTCTTTTCTTTTCCTCTTTTCTTTTTGTCAGTGACAATCTGATAAAATCCAAAAGACGTTTAGTGACTGAGTTTGATCTCATTCAGCCAGAATCTGCCTCCATTACCTGGTTTCAAACGGAGGGGTAGTGGTAAGAGTCCATTTATTATGATAACAAATCATAGCCAGAAGGGTGCGTGGAGATTTGGAATGGCTGTATCTCGTTTAATATTTACCTGAAAAACACCAAACTTGAGGATCTTGTAAAGCTCGATGCGTCCTTTCTCAATATGACGATCTTGAGTTAATAATCCCCAAATACACGGACTGGTACCAAGTCCCACTCGGTTTGAAATAAGGCACGATATCAACCTTGCTACTTGTAACAAGACAGGGATTTGACACACTGTGTTCATTTCCGATTACAGTGAATCACTGTGGCGGTACTCTGAATGCTCTATCAGGGGAGATCACCTCACCAAATTACCCAGGAACTTACCGGTCAAACAGAGATTGCACGTGGAAGATTGTGATTCCTGCAGGAAATCACCTAGAGCTTACTTTTAAGGTAAGATGCAGTAAACTTTTTCGTAGATTTATCAACTTTGTTTCTTTAGCTTATCTCCTAAGCAGGAGTCAAATCCGATACTACTGAGCCTCAGGATAGGAAACAGGAGACACCTGATCGCAGTCCTATCCTCTACGAAAAAAAAAGTAGAAAAAAAACGAGGAATATCAAAGGCATGAAAATCTTTTTTAACCCAGGGAATCCGGATTCTGGAATCCGTGAAATTTTTGGAATCCTGGGCTTTGGAATCCGGAATCCGGAATCCGGAATAGAGGTCAAAGAATCCGGAATCCTAAATCCAAGTTCCACTGACAAAGACTGAAATCCAAGTCTGAAATTCAGAATCCTAGACCGTCTTGTAATTCCTCACACGGGGCGAGCCCTGCCTTTTACAACTAAACCAAGTTATGGCGAGATTTTTTGTCACCCTAACTTTTAGATCCTGTAGAGTGTTACCAATGAGAAAAAAGGGAGCTTAGTGACCGGTCATTATTTATCGCCCGGGGGGAGCGGAGGATTTTGGGGGGGGTCACTTGATTTTTGGGAGAAAAAAAGGGGGGATCAGTCGTAACTGAGACCACTCAAATTTGCTTGGAAAATGAAGACAAAGCCCCCCCCCCAGGCGAGAAAATGTTATTAGGGCGGATCACTTCACTGAAGTAACATTCAAAGGGGGGATCGGCTAAATTTCACTTTGTCTAGCCTCAAATCCTCCACCACAACCCCCAGGTGTTTTCCCTTAAGAATTATATAAACTGAATTAAATTAACTTTTTGTTGTTGTGAAATTTAAGCTGTTTTGTTTTTTTTTTCTAGACACTCTTGAGATTGTACTTGGTCGGCATGTTTATTTTACATTGTACATTATTTTAGTAACCTTGACCATACTTACCATGAGATAAATACAGGTCGTCACTTTAAGAACTAGGTAGATAAGAATTACGTTTTGAAACAACTACCTCTATAAAACCAAAATACTGAGCTCTTACCAAGAGATGTGCTTTGTGTAGTTTAGTTGTGTAACATAAACACTGGATTAGTTTTATCTGCTCTCAAACTGAGGGAAAGTCACCTTTGTTATTTGTTTCCTTTCTCCACTTCGAACTTAGTTGTAAAGCTACACCAAGCTTACAGCTCAAGTTGTGCTTTGAAGAATCTTACCAAGTAACAAGATCGGGAAAGAAATCCCTTCCGTCGGCTACACCTTTCCATAAAAAGTTCTTCGGACAGCTTGGCTGTAGCCTGTGTAGCCTTGTGCTAGCGCAAGAACTTATAAACTGGTACAAGAAAAAATAACAATAAACGAGCCTCAATCCAGAGATCTAGAGACCCGGATAGTGAGTAATTAAAATTACACCTTTTTGTTCCGACACATTTCCTTGGTAGTATAGATGAATATAGATACGACAAAATTTAAACTAGTCAGAAATTTTTTTTCAAGAAATGAGTCGACTGATTTAATGTTTATTTTACAGGAAATAGATATTGAAGAACGCAAACAAAACAAATGTCCATCTGACTACGTTGAGGTGTTCTCTGGCTCTGGGAAACATAGCAATAGTCTTGGAAGATTTTGTGGGAAGCAGCGTCCTAAGACACTGATATCACGAACTCACAAAATGGCAGTCAAGTTCCGCTCCGACAAAAAGGTGAACGCTAAAGGATTTAGAGCGGAATATAAAGCAGGTAAATTTTATCATCACCATCATCATCATCATCATCATCATCATCTTCTGTGACCTGTAAGGCCACATTGGTCCAACATGCAACCGCGGTTGAACATCTGAGAAGCTATTCTTTTATTCATATTCTATTATAATTTTTTTAAATTGTATTAAATTATGTTCGGCTTCATTTCATACACCACAGAGTATAAAAGGGTAGTTCGTGCAAATATTTATTTCAATTAGTTTTTTTTCTCAATTTGGGTCCTCCCGCTTAAAATGCCCGAACAATTTTTTTCAAAATTGTCAGGGTGCCGATCGTCGACAACTTCACGTACGACTTAAAGGCTTTTACTGATCCCAAGAATGGTGATAGTTAAAAAATAGTAAACCAACATAGTATTTGCAAAATAACCTTTACAAACTGTTTTAAGAAACTCTGGTCATATTTTATTACCACGGGTCAAAGTCTAACCTAGTCCCTAGTGTTCTTGAGACTTTCAAAATGGCGGCAACGAGAAGTGGGTTTCTGTTTCTGGGAATTCATATTTAACCATTTTTGGTAATCCCGAAATGAATAAGGGTTTGCACTGGTTAAAGATTTTTGTCGTCGATACGGAAAGTTGTCGGCAAGAAAACGAAAATATTGAGTTTAAGGGGCAAGTTATAGTTAAAACAAGAAATAACTGATTATTAACAAGCAACAATAATTTCTAATGGCTCATGCTGCAAAATTGACTTCTTTCTGTTTGTTTCACACTATGAAAGTCAAATCAACTAGCTGATATAAGGGGGGGGGGGGGCTCCGTAAGGTCGCAGTTAAGTGCTTTACTCAAGTTGGAAGTCAAATTTTTAGGTCTAATCGGCTTTGAAAGAAGATGGCTACTTGTTATCTATATTTGTACAAACTCGTGCGCGAACATTCGCAAACCCAGCCACTCCCCAAGGTAGTATGTCAGATCTAATTTCTCAAAAAAAATGCGACCTGTCCTACTGGAAACTTGTAATTTATCTTTGTCAAAAGCAAATTAAAACATAAAACCCTTTAAGAGGGACTAGGATCAGTTTTCTCCTAACATCACTAGTACGTTATTAAGAGAAACGATTATGAAAATTGATGGAATGATCACCAAATGGAAAATGGTTTAAAGTAACTTTAATTATATTCTAACAACTTCTTTACGGAATTAGATGGAGATTATTCTGGAAAATTTGCATGTGGATTTTGAGGTTTGAAGAGATAAATCTTCCTTATTTTGTCTCTACAGAATGCGGTTCTCAACTTCACGCCTCAAGCCAGAAACGCCAGTTCGTCTCCCATCCCAGTTATGGAGACGATAACTACAAATCAAGTCATCATTGTCTTTGGCTGTTAACTGCCAGATCAGGTCATGTGATTTTTCTTCGATTCAAATCATTTGACGTGGAACACGAGAGGAATTGTGGGTATGATTACGTGGAAATTTATGATGGAAGCAATAGTACCTCGCCAAAGCTTGGAAAAATATGTGGGTCGGAATCGCAAGTCTTTCCCCGCTTATTTATGTCAAGCGGAAATCGGATGTTTATCCAGTTCCGAACGGATCTGACCAACCAAAAGAAAGGTTTTGTCGCGGAGTATTCGAGGTCACGTAAAAAAAACAGGAGAAAGTCTTAAAAGTGCAGCAAGTTCGCTTCACCGAAACGTAAATTCGCTATCTTCGAACTGACCATAAGGCACTTTACTTGCATTCCCCCTTCCCACCCCCCATGCAATTCTGGGCACTTCGAAAATTGCGAATAAAAGAGGAGAAAGGTTTTGTAACAACACAAAAAAATAACTTAAAAAAAAAAAACGAAATAGATGGAAACAGAATGTTAAAATACGCTTGTGTATCACATGTGACAGGAGCCATAGGCTTCAACTTGTGTATAAAAAACATAAGCAAGACCAACCTTGTTTCCAAGGTCTCTCTTCCCCTCCCCTGGTCTTCTGCTCCAGGTGCTTAGATGGTTAACAAATCAACAACAATCAATCAACGTCAAAATCCCGTCATTTCCATAGTCTGAACTCTTATCAAACCACCCCATCCTCTCTTGATGGAACATAGCTTTTGACCAATCAACGCGCGAGGAATCGTTCAGTTATTGTAAAAATGGAAAATGGCTCTTTTCGCTGTTTTTCCCCGGGGGTACTTAACAAACTTTTGTGTGGGGAGGCTCTGCACTGAAGTCCAACACCTTACCTTTTTTATCACCATTTCTTCCAAAAACGGTACTCCTTTCGTATACCTTCCATTGATAAATAGCACCCCTTTCACATACCTAGTTTACAACTTTGCACCCCTTTTAACTGCTGTAAATGCACTGTCTTCAAATATGAATAAATCACAAAGCCAGAAAACTTTCTCAACTTTTTCACATCAATAGCATTCTTCTGTAGCGCGTTTAAGCAATTTCACAGTCTGAAATGACAGATATCCCTACCCTTTCATATACCTAAAGCCTGAAAAAGGTACTTATTTCGGGCGGAGCCTTCCCCCCCCCCCCCGGGAGGGGTTTCGTTGCTCATTTTCCTTGCACTCTCCTCTGCGAAAGGCTAGTTGTCTCCTAGAGCAGGGGCAGAGGGGAAGAGGTAGACGTGAGACCCTGGAGACGAGGTTGAAACGAGACATAGTTGGCTTTTAGAGACATGTTCTAACAGAACACAGCGCGGATTGTTTTGATTGCACTAAGAACATATATCTTTTGTAGATTTCCATTTTTTAGTTGAAATGTTTTTATTAACTCTTATTAAAATAGCGCTAATAGGTTGAAGTTGCTAAATAAACTCTGGGAAACAATGAAATTTCTCCGATTTGTTACTAATAGTGATGTAGTGGTATCTTACTCCTTTCGCTGACGGATCGTACTCATCATACGGTTGCAAAGTACTTTCGCGGACTTCGTTTCAGCTACATTCCAAAGTACTTCAGGTGCCCTGTACTTTCACCACAATCTTTAGTAATGTACTAATGTATGACGGAATTTTTAAAAAAATTGACAACACTTCTTCATGGTCTAAACTCTATATATTGTGACGTCATCAATTTTAATCATGGTCATAGACGATTTCGTCGCCTAACAGGGGAGAGCTTGATCGCAGACTAACATTGGGAGTCATTCAGTGAAACAGTGACTACCTTTATTTTACAAGCATAATTTACACACATTAGTCAGATCATCAGTAACAAGAGGTGCTTTTAACTTGGAAATCTACGGTGGAACATTTTCTTTTTATCTCTCTTCAAAAGAAGTGATCATCCATGTTGACTTTGTATCCGTGAATATAACCTTAAAAAGACACAAAAAGCCAACTTGTTATTCTAATGTCGAGACTCAAAGGTATCTGAATTCAAAGCGATTAGATTTTCATAAAGCTTATCTGTCCAAGAATAATTTACTTTGAAGAAATTAAACTTTATTCTCTAGATAATCCCAAAGAGCAACCAATGCAGCTCTGACGCTGCCTGACGAATTTGGCTCCTGTCCCTCTCTCACGTGACGTAGTTGAATTTAAAATAAGAAACCAAACAGGCATGAACTGACTCTGTTTGAAAACCTACTAACCTTTCGAACTACTGTCTGGGTTCAGCAGCTCCCTACTGTTAAAGTGGAGAATATTTTTAACCGCGTTTTTGTACCCTAAAAAATAAAACGTAAACACATGTCACGTTTGAATTGATGGATAAGTGTTCTCAGATAGAAATGCACAGGAAAGAAAACAGTATGAGGCGCTGTGGCCCAATAATTAGTGCCTTGAACTCCTTAAGGCCGCCAGAGATTTGGTTCAGGCCACCAGAGATATTGCAATGGTTTGACAAGAGATCATACATGCAAAGGAATCCGGATTCCGGAATCTGGGAAATTTTTGCCGGTGGAATCCGGAACCGTGGGTTTTGAAATCCAGAATTCAGCTCAAGGAACCCCGGAATCCCATTGACGTCATTGACGACGGAGGCCGGAATCCAAGTTCCACTGACAAAGAACCGGAATAATAGGAAATAGGAACCAGCTTGAAGGAATATTCCTTCCTTTCCTTTCTTTTACCAGACCCCTATCAGGTGGCATTTTTTACTGTTTCTCTTACCTCTCACGGTACGTGGCAACTTTGCAGAGAGTGGAGCGAGGCCTGGGCTTAATTTTGATCTTCGCGAAATAGGCGGGGAGGAGAAAGCTACGATTGTTCACATTCGTTAACGCCTTGCTATTGGTCAGATCCTACCTCTTACGCTTAGCTTCAAACTGGGCAAAAGTGAAGTTTCGGGGAACGTGTTAAATTATGTTGCGGGAAGCAAGGAAACATTAAAGGACATTAATTTCGTGTAGAGACCTTCATTAATCAACTGCCATTAGCGAATCAGGCATTTGTACCAAAAGCAACAAGATACAAACCGTCATCCTCGTGTCGCGTCGCTTTCCCAGTTTCGCTTTTATTGCTCTTTTCAGCCATCAATTCATCCAACCATGTTGTCTTCGACAAAGCTTGCTCCCTTGCCCTCGCCAGAACAGTGGCTTCAGCAGAAAAGTCTTTTCTCAATTCCTGGAGCACTTGAGTATCTGGAAAATCCTAATAAAGATTTTATGAGAAGCTCAGTGGCTCCGCTGATCTTCAGAGCGTTCTGATTATTCCTAGCCTACGAATAAAATCCCCTCTTCCCGCTCCTTGTCTCTAGGGAGGTTTCATCCCTGGCAGCGAGGAGAGATCAGGGGCAAGGATTCGCAGACTAGATTATTCAAAATAATACTGATATTAACGCTTATAGGTGTTGAATGATTCCAGTATCCTTTGTATCTAGCTGATAGGTACCTTTTATAATTCATTTTCTACGAGCTGAAAATAAATACATAGCTATAAATGTTTCGTAGATCTTTTTTTTCTCTGATTTATTTAATCATGATTCAATTCCTCTCTGATTTAATTCTAAACAACCAACGTGTGCACTGTTTGAGAAACAATCAATGTAAGTGGTTATAGTATTTTAAAATCATATTTCCGTCATTTTCACGTCCGCTTAGGTCGTTTTTGTTACATATGGAACAATGCATACAGTATTTTCTTTCCTGGACCCATTACGCGCTTTTATTATATTGCTACAACGGTACATGCCCTCTGAACCATGTTATGGTCAATTGACAGCTGTCAAAGTATCCGCTGGCCGGTGTCACCTGCCTGTATCTTTTAATAAGTTATAAGCTGACCAGTTGTTGGTTTTATTGATCGCAGGCTCAGTTCCATGATAAAAATAAATAACTTATCAACCTCGTCCGTTCGGTCATCATAGGGAAATCTCAGACCTCGGCCTTGATGTATTGACCTTGCTATCGCTCAGTCAGCACATCAAGGCCTCGGGCTGAGATTTCCCCGTAATGACCTCACTCTCGGTCAACATGTAGTATATACTGACAAATTTTTGACCGGTCGAAAATTCGTGCGTTTTGGGTTTCCGCTCAAACGGAACCAAGCTAACCGTACGAAAAATTGAACGCCTAAAATAGAGGTCAAATTTTAAGCCGGTTCGGTCGAGAATTTAACCGTTGCAATGTGAACACCAAGACCGTCTAACGTTTTGTACGGCAAATTTGACCGGCACGATGTGAACACGATAACCATCTAAAATTTGTACGCGCTGGCATGCGCATAGGTAACTAGTAAAATCACAGACAGAAGTTAAAATTCAACTTGGTTCAACAGTTCCGTGTGAACAGAGCAAAAATGTTTAAACGGTTCCGTGTGAGCTAAGTGTCCGGTCAATTTTTTCAGGCGGTCGAAAATTCGTCCAGTGCCGTGTCAACGTAGCCAGTGTTGGCAGGCGGCAAGGATAGATCTTTCCACAAATACCTCATTTTGAAAAATCTGACCAATCCTGACAGAGTTACCGACGAAAAACCAAGTAACATTTTGGGGAAAAATCCATGCCAATTTCGCTATTTACTTACTATTCTTTGCAGACAAACTTTGTCCATTCCCTGGAATTTCAAGCGAAAGAAAGACTGTCTTGGCTACTGTCTACGGAGTAGTGAATGTGTAAATTCCTTAGTCGTTCCAAAACGTCCTGCGCCAAAGGGTGACGTATCGTGCGAGGCCAGCATTTAAGTTACGCCTGTAGTCATGCATATACTTTTCACGTAACCAACACAAACCCTAACGCCTTCTCCACTAGTAAAGTATATTCTTACTAAAAATGATAACGTATCCTATATCAACATACTCCGCTCAAAGGTATCTCAGTTAAATCAACTCACCGGCGGTGGATGAGGTTTGTTTCTTCTTGAAGGCGAAGTTGGTCGCAGTGCAAGCTGCCTGACCGGTTTTCTGCTTTTCTTGTTGCAGTAATCGGTAGAATAAATCGAAATCATGTTAATTCCGGAACATAAGCAGTGAGTCCGGCTACGATTTATAACTAGATCTGCTTTTTCAAATTCGTCGAGGACTGTTGAAATTTCTCTCTAAGAGCTTTGACAGACCATCTTATTAAAAAATGCAAATTTCTTGGCTCTTTTTGGCGAGCCATTAATTTTTAATCCATACTCCCAAAGGAGGGCTTCTGTTTCATTCAGTATGTTAAGTGTTATTGTCGTGTTTGTAAAGATGTTGAGGAAGCAGGACATAAATCATGAATAAGAAATAAAAGTATG